ATGAGTGACTACGAGTAGTTTCACTACCGGGGTGAAGGGGAAAGTGTTTTCAATGAAGTAATAAAAAATAGGGTAACCAATTTAAGATCGGAATAAACCACGCACAGCTGTGGTCCGGTTTCATCGTAACCTGCAAACATAAGAGCAACGCCGAAAGGCCGACTCATTGCTCCCGCATCGGCATCATCGTCACCAAAAGCGAGAGCGAGTTTGCTCACAGCCTGAGTCACGTCTTCAGTGGTCATTTCACAGTTGTACACAAACCAGTGATGAGCAGCTTCAACGCGGGCCCGGTCGATAAGAGTTCTTGCATCAGCGACAAGGCCACTGACCGCACATGCTGATAAAAAAGTCGGAATAAAAATATCTGTAGTGATGGCGACATTAGGATTATAGACGCGCAAATGAAAACAAGCACTCAAGGATCAGCAATGCCATAATGAAATAGAGCGCAAAGAATCTGACTAATGACAATCCTCATAGGAATATGATACATGTTTGCGTAGTAAATAAACTAAACAAATTGATCCGAAAGTAAGAATGCTTAAATGATAGGCGGGAGGAGACATGAATATCGTCGATTCGCACAACATACCAATCCTATCAGATACTTTAAATATTTTCTCCACACTGTTGGTAACAATAAGCGGGGAATTAATTCTCTTTTCCACAGCTAAAATGACCCCATCTTTTGTTTTGATACCAATACCGGTAGATCCCAACTAACAAGCAATGACTCAAAAATAGTATTACCTTAGTGGCCTCTATGGCATATTCCACTTGAAAAAGTCTCCCGTCTGGAGAAAATGTATTCACCCCTCTGTCATATTCGGTTTTAGTCAAAAACATGAGAACAAGTGACCGAGCAGAAATTCAAAAATCGCTACAAAGGTGGAGACTATTAAAACTCCAATTTATATTTTGAGATAAATTGTTATAACTCAGAAAGGTAATTAAATCAACTTATGTCTTTGTTTATGCTAATGATTACCATTTGAATTCTTAATAGCAATTCTGTAAAATGTTCAGGATGACAACGTATGTTGAATTATTCCCCTGCCTTATTGTATTTTTAATATTAGGGCAGCATCCGATAAAGCATAAGGCGAGTAACAGCGCTTCCGGTTATAGCATCGCAATTTTGATCCACAGCCAATGCTTCAAGCGTCCGATTTTGTAACCATCCAAATTAATTATAGCTCTGCTGAAGCCCCCTCCCAATAAATCTCCAACAGGTATAAGAATGCATCGAGTCAGGCTAAAATATTTATAAACTAAGAAGGAAGATGAGG